TGAGACAGAGCCTCAAGCTGTCCCCCTGGGTAGAGTGCCATGGCATTACAGCTCACAGCAACCTCCAACTCCTGGGCTCAAGCGAGCCTCCTGCCTCCGCCTCCCAAGTTGCTGGGACCACAGGTGCCCACCACAACGCCCGGCTATGTTATTTGGTTGCAGCCATCATTGTTATTTGGCTGGATTCGAACCTGCCACCTTAGGTGTATGTGGCTGGCGCCTTAGCCACTTGAGCCACAGGCGCCGAGCCTTAAACGCGTGTTTCTAAGTGAAAGAAGCCAATCTGAAAAGGCTACTTAACGAACAATTTCAATTACACAACATTTTGGAAAAAGCAGGAAGAGGCCTAGTACAGAGGAGTTTTAAAGCAGGGAAAGTACTTTGTATAATACTATAGTGGTAAATGCATGTTACTATACATTTGTCCCAAACCACAGACTGTACATTCCTGACTTACAATGGTTCGACTTTTTGATTATACAATGGTATGAAAGTGATATATATTCAGTAGAAACTGCTTTGAGTACCCCCACAACCATTCTATTTTGAAATACTTTATTCAATAAATTACATGAGGTAGTCAGCACTGTATTATAAACTAGGCTTTGTGGTAGATGATTTTGCCCAATAGTGGCTAACGTAAGTGTTCTGAACACATTCAGGGTAGGTTAAGCTAAGTTTAATTTGGTAGGCTAGGTGTATTAAATGCTTTTTCTACTTATAATATTTTCAACTTACAATGGGTATATGAAGACCTAACCCCACTATAAGTCGAAGAGCATTGGCACAAGAGCTAAGTCTAATGTTACTATTGACTTTGGGTGATGATGTGTCAATATAGGTTGATCCCCTGAACAAATGTCCCCCTCTGATGCAGGATGTTGATGGTGGGGGAGGCTACACATGCCTGGGGGCAGGGGATTGATAGGAACTAGGCATTTCCCACTCAATTTAGCTGTGAATCTAAGACTGCTCTAAAAAATAAAGTCTACTTTTTAAAAAGGTCGTTTTACTTTGCTTTCACTTAAAAAAGAATCGTAAAGACCACACAATCTTCGCATAATGGTTGTTACAAAAATCAAATACCAAGTGGCTGGGAAGCATTGCCCTAAATGCCTTTAAAGGCATATTCTCACAAATGTTAATCCTTCATGTACACTTGGCTTTAAAAGAACACATCAAGATTTACATAATCATACAGGCATGTGAATCATATACAAAATGTGTTCTTGCACATAATTATAAAGCTATTAGTTTATTCTATACAAACATATGTGCTAAGCTTAAATTTATCTTCTTCAAAAGCCACTTCCCTTCCTGCTATGGGTGTTTAGATTGCCCAAGTTTTAAATTTCCACCGTTCCTAAATCCCTCTTCAAGTTCCCATTCTCATCCTATTTGTGTAAATCCAAGTTTTCTCCCAAAATTTCTCTAGCATTTTCTAGAAGGTAACTTCTCCCAATAACTTGAAAGAAACCACCAGCAGTGTATTTAATAACAAGTTTTTTAAGAATAGTTTGATATGGATTGCTTGAGCTCACAGGTTCAAGACCAGCCTGAGCCAGAGTGAGACTTCATTTCTAAAAATAGCCGGGTGTTGTGGGGGCACCTGTAGTCCCAGCTACTTGGAAGGCTGAGGCAGGAGAGTCTCTTAAGTAAAACAGTTTGAGGTTGTGGTGAGCTGTGACGCTATGGTAGTCTACCAAGGGAAACAAAGTGAGACTGTCTCAAAAATAATAATAATAAGTTTGAGAGGTCTGTGCTTTAAATTCCCTCGTAGGACCATATCTTTCTCTTTTCTTTCCCTAAGTTTTTTAAGTGTCTCAACCCATACACCTTTATAAACTGTATTATAAATTAATTTTATTTTCTTGAGACAGAGCCTTAAGCTGTCGCCCTGGGTAGAGTGCTGTGGCATCACAGCTCACAGCAACCTCCAGCTCCTGGGCTCAAGCAAGTCTCCTGCCTCAGCCTCCCAAGTAGCTGGGACCACAGGCGCCCACCACAACGCCCGGCTATTTTTTGGTTGCAGCCGTCATTGTTGTTTGGCGGGCCTGGGCTGGATTCGAACACGCAACCTTAGGTGTATGTGGCTGGCGCCTTAGCCACTTGAGCCACAGGTGCCAAGCCATTATAAATTGACACTGTTCATAAATCATAAATATAGAAATTTCTAGAGCAAATTTTCTCAACTTTTTGAGAACACAAAACCCTCCTTTTTGGATAATCCTAAAAATCTCACAGGGAGGCTCAGTGCCTATATACACATCTCCAGGTGTTGTGTTGGACACCAGCTACTTGGGAGGCTGAGGCAAGAGAATTGCTTAAGCCCAGGAGCTGGAGGTTGCTGTGAGCTGTGACACCATAGCACTCTACTCAGGGTGACAGCTTGAGGCTCTGTCTCAAAAAAAAAGAAAGAAAAATGAAAATAGACGGTTTTCTCTTATCCAAGTACAAAAATGTAATACTAAATATGCTTTTGCAAACCACACATGGCCCTAGATTATAACACTCTCCCCTTACAGCAGTGTTTTTCAAACTTTCCATCTCACGGCACACTTGAACCTGTAGTTCAACTTCCATGGCATACTTAAATCATATTGATCAAAAAAAAAGTTAAAAAAGAATATACTTACTATGCTTTGAACTTTTCAAAAATAATTTAATGATCTTTTAAAATGTTCATGCACAGCATTTGAAAATCACTGCCATAGAGACTGACATCACCGGTTCCAACCACTGCCACTCTATAACAACTGCTGATGCCAAGTGCGCAGACCTCCGGAGAGGTTCCCCTCCCTCATCCCTTGCTCCACACTGTTTCTCTATTCGTCTGTTTCTGGTGTGTGTGTCTTTTGATGACAGAACAGTGATATGAGCACCCTTTGCACAAAAGTGAGTTGCTTAATTTTTTATTAAATGATACACTGAAAGTATAAAAGTTGTCTTGGTACAAACAGGTTACAGAATAATGCACATAACAGCCGTATGGACTACATTTGACAATTTTAACTTCCATTTTGATTTTATTATCAGTATCCAAAATTATAAACTCTAGCATTTTTTCTCGATCGAGTCCTGTATGATTGCAATTCCTGAGGTAAACTTTAGTGTCCACTGCCAACATCCTTGGACGTAAACCAAGCCCCCTAGGAGAATTCAGTTATTTATATTCCCAAATACAATGTAATGGAATTCAAAATTGTAATCAGTTATTTCAGATGTAAAATGGGTGTATCTTATACTTCTGTATCTATATATATATATAT